GGGAAGGCGTCCTTAGAGCCGGGGCCGCCTTTTACCTGCAGGATATTCGACGTGGGTGAGGGTGACCGGCCGCCATGAAGCAGGGAGCGAGCACTGTCCGTCCGCTGCCATCTTACCCGGAGACCGGGCTTCGCCGAGCAGCCAATGGGGTGCCAGGGGGGCGGCGGTCCTAACCTATCACGCCAGGGAGGCGCCTCGCATCCAATCGGAAGCCGATACAGGTAGCGGCGCAGCCATTCAGCGTGCAGGCCGTAGGGCTGGTCCCAGCGGCGAATCAGAGAGCGGGGCCCCTAGGAGCTTGTGAGCCGACCAAGCCAGCGGCCAATCCGGGGCGAGCGCAGGTAGGTTCCTGGCCAATCAGGAAAGAGGCGGGTTCCAGCACAGAACAGAGAGCAGAATAGCCAATCAGAAGGTGAAGCCGGCTCCCCAGTGTGGGCAGGACGGACCAATCAGGCCTTAGTTTGGGAGGCGTGTTGAACTTTGGTGGGAGCTTTGGTTTGGCCAGGACCTGCGCCCAGTGAAGGCTCCCCAGGTAATCCGAGCCGCCCGGAACCGAAGGGGCTTGGGCTACGGTCAGAGCACGTGCTGGAAGCGGCGGGGCGGGGGTCTCCATGTCACCATAGGGTCTGCGTCCACCGCCTTTTAGTTATGAGTAAACTGAAACCCAAGACCCAGAGGGCACTTAACTCTTTTCTTGAGTGATACTAGGAGTGGAAGCTTGATTGAAGTTAAGAAAGGCTCCTTCCTTCTTTCATTCAGTTAACAGAGACTTACTGATTCAGTCACATTGATGCCGGAATCTTGAGAGCATTTAAACCAGAAGCCGATTTCCATCTACACCTCAGTTTCCCCAGAGCATTCCTCTCAGTAGCCACAAGGCCCTGCATAAACAGCCACAGCTTCCACCCACCCTTCCCTCTCCTACCCCCACTCTCGGGCTACCTGACCCACCCTTGTCTCCTGGCCTTCGCACATGCCGTTGCGCCGCCTGGAAGGCATCGCCCCTCTCGCCCCCTTCGCTTTGCCAAGTCTCGCTCAACTGTCAGTTCTCACTTGGGGGTTTCTGTGGCCTAGTGAGCGGCCTCCCCTGAGCCCCTCTCCTGCCTCGGCACTGACCACACCGGACTGGAATCGGTTCCCTGTCTGTCTCTCCCAGTAAACAATGGTTCTGACTTCATCGGCACCAGGATCGGTTTATGGAAAATGCAGATTCCTGGGTCCCACTAGGGTCTGGGTTACGGTCTGCATTCTTATGTGCCTAGGGTTCTAATACAAGGGCTTTCAGCCATGCCTGCAGAAGCCCAGGGTGTCATGAAGATGGCCCAGGCCAGACCTAGAACAACAGCCTGATAAATGACACAAATGCTTGTGAGAAGTGAAAATAAACCAGGCATGGCTAGCTCTGCAAGACTGCAGGACAGCTGAAGCCAGGACTGTGGCTCAGCTGAGAGGGCTGGGGGACGATGCTGACTCAGGCTCCCCTGGCCCCCCTCAACTGTGCTCAGCTCCCCACCAGGCCCAGCCTGGGCTTGTCTGGGTCAGCTGGCCCCGTTTCCCTGTCACCTACCCTCAGCTACCTCCGCCACTGCCATTATTAGCTTCTGAGAAGCAGGAGGTGTGAGTTTCCCAGAATAGTCCCCTGAGACAGGGCAGCCCTCCCGGGTCTGGCTGCATTGCCCCTCCTTGGCCAGTGGCCATTTCACTGATGAGCAAATAGGCCTGGAGAGGCAGAGCCCCTGAAATCCAGGTCTGATTTCATAGCCTCTTGCCTCAGGGGGAGCATTCCAAGAACTGTGGAAAGAGAGTTACCCAGTGTGGGGTCTTCCTGGCAGAGGGACCAGCATAAGCAAGCACCCTGAGGCAGGAGTGAGGCTGGATGAAATGGGCAAGAGAGCGTGAGAGGGGAGGTGCTGGGGAGAAGGGGGGTTCAGAGGGGCTGGGCCCCCAAAATTTTGAGGGCCACTATTAGTGGTGAGGACAGATGGGAGGAGGGAAGGATGGGAGTGTTGTTTGGTTTGGTTGTGCTTTTTAAAAAAATATTTTTATTGATTTCAGAGAGGAAGGGAGAGGGGGAAAGAGAGAGAGAGAAACATCAATAATGAGAGAGAATCATTAATGGGCTGCCTCCTGCACACCCCACACGGGGGATTGAGCCCACAACCTGGGCATGTGCCCTGATCAGGAATCGAACTGCGACCTCCTGGTTCATAAGTTGACATCCACTGAGCCACACCGGCTGGGCTGGTTGTGGTTTTTTTCTTGTTTGTTTTTTTTTAGGAGGCCTTGCCAAAACAAGACCAACAAAAATTTTCAGCTGCCTCCCAAAAATAATTGAGAGGAAAGGAGAGAGAGATGGTTGTGGTTTTTTTAAAAAATTAAAATATAACATTCATACAGGAAATTCCTGAAATGGAATGTGATGAAATTTCACAAACAAAACACACCTGTATAAGCAGCCCCTAGATCAAGAACCAGGGCCCCAGAAGCCCCTGACACCCAGCTATTCACCCCAGGGTGACCACCATCCCTACATCTAACACTATACATTAGGTTGGTCTGAGTTTGTACTTTCTATAAACAGCATCCTACAGTACAGGGTTGGGCAAAAGTAGGTATACACTTGTATTATTATTTATTGTACTAGAGGCCCAGGGCACGAATCCATGGGGTCCCTCGCCTGGCCTGAGCCCTCTCGCAATCCGGGACCCCTCGAGGGATGTCGGACTGCCGGTTTTGGCCCAATCCCCACAGGCCAGGCCAAGGAACCCCACTGGTGCATGAATCCATGCACCAGGCCTCTAGTATGCATGTAAGATCTTTGGTTAATCTCTTCCCACCCTCCCCCCTTCTCTCTGAGATTCATCAGTCTGTTCCATGTTTCCATGCCTGTGGTTTCCGATCCTGCATTGAGCATCTGCCCCCTGGTGGTCAGTGTGCATCATAGCTATCAGACGGTTGGCCGGTTGCTTAGGCTTTTATAGAGATTACTAGAGGCCCGGTAAACGAATTCATGCACTGGTGGAGTCCCTTGGCCTGGCCTGCAGGGATCAGGCCGAAATCAGCTCTCCAACATCCCCCAAGGGGTACTGGATTGCAAGAGGGCAAGCCAGGCTGAGGGACTCCACCAGTACACAATCGGGCCGGGGAGGGACCACAGGAGGGCTCCAGGGAGTGTCTGGCCCGTCTTGCCCAGTCCCAGTCGGCTGGACCCCAGCAGGAAGCTAATCTACTGGTCAGAGTGTCTGCCCCCTGGTGGTTAGTGCGCATCATAGTGAGTGGTCGAACAGTTGGACACTTAGCATATTAGGCCTTAATTACATCGGATTTGCCAGACAGACTACTTTTGCCCCACCCGTATGTACTCTCTGTGTGTGGTTTCTCTCACTAGCATTGTGTTCGTGAGATTTATGTGTTTGAGCCAGGTCACCTGGCTCGAACATGCCAGAGGTAGGATGGGCAGTCCCAGGTTCTGAACCATCCTACATCCCATGAGCCAAACTGCTGTCTCCTCCCACTGCCCTGGGTACCCTCGTACAAGCCCAGAGAACTAAGGCTTTTCCAGAATGCCCACTTATCCCAGGTTTGGCTGGCCTTTCACTCTGGCCTCTCTCCTGGCAGGGAGTTCAGAGAGGGCAGCCCTGAAACTAGAGGCCCAAAGTCTAACACTGGTTTATGTGCAAACTCTTTCAGTCTCTGGGCCTATTTCCCCAAAACGTGTCAGCTGCTGCCCTCTAAGAGAGAGTTCATTTATTCACTCAGGAACTTCTGTATTTGGATTCCCAGGCAATCCACTGTCCGCCACAGGAGTGGGCCAGGGTTCCCGCAGAGCTCTCCCAGCTCTGGTCTCTTGGGTTCTGGCTTTTGGGGACATCATGTCATGTAGAAATGAAGTGCTCGAAGACTGATCGGGACGAGGAGGGGTGTGCGTGCATCAAAAGGACCCAGGAACCAGCTCAAAGGGGCTCTCTCTCGCCAATTGAGCATCAGAAAAATGCTTTAACTGTACCTATCAAATAAAAACCCTTGAGTCCACAGTGGTATTCAAAAAACAGAAAACTTACTGTTGGAAACTAGTCAGCAACAGAAATAACTTACTGGTACCTGCCATCAAATGGACAAATCTCGGAAACATCATTAGAAACCGAGCACAGATGACCACCGACTGTAGGACTCCATCAGAAATGTCCAGAAAAGGCCAATCAAGAGAAAAAAAGTAGACTGGTGGCGGCCTGGGGGCTGGGGCTTTACTGCCAAAGGACACGGGGTCTTTTTGTGGCGATGGAAAGGTTCTAAAAATATACTGTGGTAACGGCTGCACTCTGTACATTTACTAAAAATCATTAAAGCAAATGAATTCTATGGCACACGTCATACCTCAATAAAGCTGTTTCAACCCAACAAAACAACTTGCTGGCCTCGGAGGTGACCAGATAGGCTCGCGTCTCTAAAATCCGCAAAGGGGAGTCAGGCATTTTTCTTTGCCGGAAAAAAAACTTTTCAGAATCCCAGCAGATACTAGAGAATCAGTGATACACTTTCCAGGTGTGATTATGGTATCTTGGTCATGCCAGGGAACTGCCTTATTTTTAAGACCTGCTTGTTCAGGTGTTTAGGGATGAAGTACATGTCTGGAACTTACCCTAAAAATTTTTTAGCCCTGACCAATTTGGCTCAGTGGATAGAGTGTCAGCCTGTGGACTGAAGGGTCCCAGGTTCGATTCTGGTCAAGGGCATGTACCTTGGTTACGGGCACATCCTCAGTAGGGGGTGTGCAGGAGGCAGCTGATCGATGTTTCTAACTCTATCCCTCTCCCTTCCTCTCTGTAAAAAAATCAATAAAATATATTTTTTAAACTTTTTTTAAAGAAATGGCAAGATGTTAATTTCTGACTTGGGTTGGTTTTATGGGTAGTCTTTATATGCATTTCTTCTTAACTCTTTGGTACATCTGAAACTTTTCAAAGTGAAGCTATTTTGTTTCTAAAATACCCTTCACATAAACCTTGCAATGCCCAACTGCCCATGAAAACACCAGAATATCTCGCAGGCTCAGGTCTGCTCTGCTCCCACCTGTCCCAGCCCCTCACCCGGCGCGCACCAGCGCAGGCGTAGTGACTGAGCCTGACCCCACACTGCTGGCCTCGTCCAACACCTGCGTCGTGCAGATGTGGACAGAGGCTCGGACAGAAGCCTCACCTAGATGCTGCCCGAGCTGAGCCACACCCAGGCCGCCCACACCTGTGCCCCCGAGCATTTCCCTGGCCACTCC